TATATATATATATATATATATATATATATATATATGCCAATGTAATATTTTGACCAAAGCTATTATTTGAGGATAATTATAAGCAATATTTGAAAGTTTAGGGGTGTCTTTAAATCTTTATTTTTGATAAATTTAAATAAAAATAAAAATAGATAATTATTCTCCGAACTATCATGAATATTGTGTTAATACCCTTTGTTATACTTTAAGGTTGTATTACCTTCATTCTTTTGGATTGTATACATCCTTAAATCTAACGAATCGACATGTGATATCATCTAAATGATTTATCTGATTTTATTTATTTTTTTATTCAAAAATTTTACCTGAGCCACAACCAAAATGGGTGGTGCCAAAATCCAGTCACCATTTTCATAAAAAAAAAATTTATCTCTTTGTTCTTTTCTCACACTCTCTACTTTCTTCTCTCTCGCTCGCCTCTCAAACTTCAAACATACAAGTGTTTTAATAATTCAAATACATATATATACGTCATTTGATGGATAATTTATTAAACAATTTCTCCAAACTCCACTTCGTATTTCATCGAGGAAGAAGATGAGTCAAATGACTTCAATCTCCCCAAATTCGGTCCCCCTAATTAAATTATTATTGTCACGAGTAAGGAAGAAACTTTTATCATTATGTATTTCATCGACCTTTTCAATTGCTTCCTAATCAAGTTGATACATCTTTCGTTCAGTATACTGTGTTGAATTGGGTTGGGAGTCTTTCATCTGCAAAAGAAAATAAAACTTATTATCACATCAAATGGTACAACGCACATGTAAGCATAACAAATACCTGTTCAAATGTCTTCAACTTGGATAATATGGAGAAGAAAAAACTAATATCAATTCATTTATTTAAAACCATTTAATTTAGGACAGATTCAATTTTTTTTAAGCGAACAAAATTATAAAATTTTACAAAAATTACAACAACGGTTACACATTATATCACACATATTATATGGGTAAGCATAGAAAGAGGTAAAAAAATAAAACAATGATAATAATTTAAGGCATAATACATATATTAGACCTTAAACTTGGTTTCAAATTTTAACTTTGACCTCCAATTTTCATAATGCACAAACAGACACTTTAACTATCCAACTTTTAAATAAATAAACACATGAGTCCTACATGGCAAAATACACGTAGGACGAAAAATGACATGTAGGATGACATATAAGACATGTGTGATTATTTGTTCAACTTTACACAAGTTTAAGTGTCTACTTGTGCACACCCAAAGTTGAAGGGCATAAATATAATTCGAATTCAAGTTAAAAGGCATATGTATGTATTATGTCATAATTTAATGGGTGTTTCGTTATAATGCATGAGAATAGTTGAGTATATTTTTTCTTGGGGAAAATTAAATTAGAAGCATTGAGTAGTCGTGTTCAACGAATAAAAAAAATATTCAAGTATTCTTAAAACAAAACTTCCTTCTGAATTTTTATAGAAAGATAAAGACGACAATTGAGAAGAAGGACAACATGAAAACTTCAAAAAAAAGTGCATACATTTTCTTTTTATTTTTTCACAAAGAAAAACAATATACTTATTGGTATCGAAATGATAGTTATAATTACGTTATAAAGTCAAGTGGCAAAATAATAAAAAGGCATTTAGGGATGAAGTGATAATAATGTGAATTTTATTGGTTTTAAATTTTAAAATAGCAACATTAAGTGATAATATTTTGTTTTGAATGTACTTGTGTATATTTATGAAATTAATTAAGACAAATATTAAAAATGCCTCTATAAAGAATATATCACAGCAATAAATATCATTATTATTATTAAGAATAAAATAACAATATAGATCTGACTCATGTCGTGAATCATAAATTGTTTTCAAATAACAATTTTTTTAAAATAAGGTGGCGGAGGGAGGGGGTTGAGTGTAGGGCTGGTGTAAAGAAAAAGAAATTTTCTAATTTTTATATATATTTCAATTTTTTGAAAAAAAAATTGATGTGGGGAGAGGGGTTAGGGGTAGATTTGACAGAAAAAATGAAATTTTATATATTTGAAATATTTTTTAATAAAATTATTTTTTTAAAATGAAATTAACCGGGGGGGGGGGTAGGGGTTGGATGACTAAAAAATCAAAATTATTAATCTGAGATAATTTTAAAAAATAATTTTTTTTAAAAATTGATTGGGGTTGGCCGGAGTAGGGGTGACATAAACTTTCCAAGTCAATCAAAAACTACACCAAACTTAGAATATAATACACCATTAATTTATTTTTATGTATCGTAAAACTATATACAAATCAACAAATAAAATAAATAGTATAGAAAGCAACACACTCACCTATCTACTTAATTCTCTGACATAAACAAGAAAATGTGAAAGTTGCTATCAAAACAAGTATGCTTCCCACAGTCAGTATTTAAAACAATATTTGCTAAAAGATTAACTCGACTATAGAAGTTCATCTAGCAGTCGGAAAATGCCTCTAATCGAAACTCTCTCTCTATATATATATATATAATTATTTTATGTTTTTCTTGAAATTTTATAAAACTATAATCATTTGAAATTTAGGAAGCTCGATATGAATAATTTATATTGGGGAAGGGCAAAATTGGGTGTCAACACCAACTCAATACAGTTTTACTTGTTTTTG